CACACACACATTCACAAACACACACACACAAAACACACACACACACACACACACACACACACGCACGCACACACACACACACACACACACACATACACACACACACACACACTCACACGAAAGCAGTAAAATAAAGGTATCGGGTTGAAGGAGCTTTCCGAAGGTCTCCAGAGGTCCTGGGAGTTCGCAATATGGTCCCAGAGGCTTCCTGGCATTATCCGAGACGTTCGATGTGTTCGAGAGATTTTCGACCGAGTCCAAAGGTTTCCGGAAGGTCTCAGATATTTCGGACTTCGTTTTCATGTTATCAGTATGTCCCCAGGGGCGGGGGACACCATTTATCCACCCACACCAAGCATCGTTGGCTAGGCCAGGGAGCCGTATCCGCTCTCCTGGCCATATGGCCAGGAGGTCGCGCAGGATCCGCGTGTACGCCCTCCTGGCTGAGCTCGGAGACCGTACCCGCCACTGTTGGGCCGTGGATTGGCCTAGCCAGGATCGGTGCAGGTGGATCGTTGGAGGAGGGGGGGGGGGAGGAGGAGAAGTGAGCAGGAGGAGGAGAAGGAGGAGGAGGAGGAGGAGGACGAGGACGAGGACGAGGAGGGCGAGGAGTGACGAGGAGGAGCAGGAGGAGAAGGAGGAGGAGGAGGAGGAGGACGAAGGGGAGGGGGAGGGGGAGGGGGAGGAGGAGAGGATCAGCTGGCGTCCTCACGCAGGAGTCACTGCGAGGACGGCTTCGTCTTCGTCTGGGAGGAGGGCCCCAACTCGTTCGCGACCCAGCCGAGCATCGTGCGCATCGCCCACGAGCTCGGCATCGACGACCAGCTCGTCTTCGCCAACGAGGCGCTGCCCCCGTGGGTCAACCACGGCGGCAAGCTGCACCCGCTGCCCAAGGGGAAGGGCGGCAAGGGCGTGGCGGGGCAGCTGGAGCTCGTGTTCGGGCCGAACGGGGTGCTCAAGTTCGGCCTCACCAGCGAGCTGCTCTCGTGGCCCGGCAAGATCCGCGCCGGCATCGGCGCGCTGCTGGGCCACGAGGGGCCGCCAGACGGCAAGGATCCTCTTTCTACTTCCCATTCTCCTCCCCCTCCTCATTCTCCTCCTCATTATCCTCCTCCTCCTCCTCATCATCATCAGCAGCAGCAGCATCAGCATCAGCATTATCATCATCATCATCATCATCATCAGCAGCAGCAGCAGCAGCAGCAGCAGCATCATCATCATCATCATCATCATATCATCTATTCATCATATCATCCTCATCATCATTCCCCAATCTCATCATCATCAGTCTCCTCCCCTACCCGCTCTCCTCCTGCACTCTCCTCCTCCTCCTCCTACCTCCTTCCTCCACCTCTCCTCCTCATGCTCGTCCTCCTCCTCCTACCTCCTACTCCTCCCCTCATCCTCCTCTGCTCCTCTCTCCTCATCCTCCTCCTCCTCCTCCTCCCTCCTCCTCCTCCATCCGCCTCTCATGCTCTTCCTCCTACTTTCCTCCTCCTCCTCCTCCTCCTCCTCCTCCTCCTCCCACTCCTCCTCCTCCTCAGCCTCCTCCTCCTCCTCATCCTCTGTACCATCTTCCTCCCCTCCTCCTCCTCCTCCTCCTCCTCCTCCTCCTCCTCCTCCTCCTTCGCCTCCTTTCCTCTTCCTCCCCTCCTCCTCCTCCTCCTCCTCCTCCTCCTCCTCCTCCTCCTCCTTCGCCTCCTTTGCCTCCTCCTCCTCCTGGCTACGAGTAAGAGGGTGACCCTCCACCGCAGGTGCATCTGGTGCGGGCCATAGGCCCCCCCAGCAGCGGCCTGCGCATTTGGGATTTGGCCACCTCGCGGCCCTCTGAAGCCGCGCACCAGAGGTCACTCTCGTCCAGAGTCCTCTTGCGTGCCGCCGAAAGGAGGAGACCATCCGGGAGTGGGTCACGCGCATCCTCGGCGAGGAGGTCTTCCTGCGTTGCATCGACCCGTTCGTCTCGGGCGTCTACGCCGGGGACCCCGAGACCCTGTCGATGAAGGCCGCCCTCCCGAAGATATCGCGCATCGAGGAGTACTCCTACTCCCTCGGCTGGAACGTCGGCGGGGCGATCCTGTACGGCGGCCTGAAGAGACAGGCGGAGCTCGTCAAGGAGCGGAAGGCGCGGGGATCCGAAAGCACAATGGCTCGGCCCGCGGCCCTCGGCTCGACCCCCCCCCTCTGGGGCCCTGCGGCCCCGAGGCCTCCCAGAGCCTCCTGGGGGCCTCGCGCGTGGCCCCGACGCCGCCCTCGCCCTCGCCCTCGCCCCCCCCCCCCCCCGCCTCCCGAGGCCCGCTGGGCCGCTGGCGGGGTCCTGGAGCCGCTCGCCCCCGCACCCCCACCCCCGCAGCAAAGCAGCTGCATCCGCACGCCGTTCGCGCCTGTGGGAGTGGAGGAAATCACCAGTTTTGCAAGACGCCCGAGCGATTTCCGGCACGCCTGCGTGCCGCTCGCGCCGCCGACGCGCCCCAGGGGCGCATGGCCTTTGCCTCGCCGTGCCGTGCCCCCGCCCTCCAGCAGCAGAGAGTGGCGAAGAACATCGCGTCGTGATTTTGTTCATGACTCGAGGGGATCAGGGGTCGTCCCGCCCCACCCACGATCCTCCGCAGGAGCCCGCCGCGGGGGCCTCCTGGGCCGCGAGGGCCCTTCCGCCCGCAGGATGCGGACCCTCCTGCTTCCCCGTGGGAGTAGAAGGACCACTGCTCCCAGGGTCCATGTCGATCCGATCAATCCGACTTGATGCCGGCTCTGGCTGGCCCGATCCGATTCGATTTGATATTCCGACGATCCGGTGCGGCCCGATGTTCGCACGGTGTGGTTGTGCATCTTGGCGCAGCCGACCCGATTCGATGATCCGATCCCGCGCCGATGCAGACCCATCCGATGCAAAAATCGACCCGATCCGATGTACGACCCGATGCTGAGTGATCCTGACTGCCCCCGCGAAGACTCGAGAGCGTCAAGTCCGCCCCCAGGGCCCCGGACAGCCCCAGGATCCTGGAAAGTAGGCTTTGGAGGGCCCGAGATCGAGGAGAGTAGAGTCTGCGGGCATCGAGCAACGTCACCACGTCGGGGGTCTCTGGGAAGCCTCAGAAAAGATCAACCCCTCGGCCTTTCCTGGGGTGCGCTCTGGCCAGGAGATGTCGCCGCGCCGTTTGTTCCGACGCGCGGCCGTGCGTCTTTGAGAGGGCGCCGCGGCCACCAGGGCAAACGCCGCCTCGGACGCAAAGTTTGCCGTGGGTTTGCCGGGGTGTCAGCGTCGTCCACCTGGACGCGTCGAGAACAAACGGTGCGGCGACATATCGAGGGAACCCCAGCCGTGGCAACAGAAGCCTCCCGAAGACGCGAAAAAGGAGTGAGCACATGGGACACCCGCGGGGGCGCGAAGATGATCGCCCCGCACGCGTCGCGGCCTCGGCCGGGGCGTCTGTCTGTCCCTCAGGGCTTCAGGGGGAGGAGGAGGAGGAGGAGGAGGAGGAGGAGGAGGAGGAGGAGGAGGAGGAGGAGGAGGAGGAGGAGGAGGAGGAGGAGGAGGAGGGGGAGGAGGAGGAGGAGGAGGAGGAGGAGGAGGAGGAGGAGGAGGAGGAGGAGGAGGAGCAGGAGAGGAGGAGGAGGAGGAGGAGGAGGGAGGAGGAGGAGAGGAGGAGGAGGAGGAGGAGGAGGAGGAGGAGGAGGAGGAGGAGGAGGAGGAGGAGGAGGAGGAGGGAGGAGGAGGAGGGAGAGGAGGAGGAGGAGGAGGAGGAGGAGGAGGAGGAGGGGAGGGGAAGGAGGAGGAGGAGGAGGAGGAGGAGGAGGAGGAGGAGGAGGAGGAGGAGGAGGTGGAGGAGAGGAGGAGGAGGAGGAGGGAGGAGGAGGAGGAGGAGGAGGAGGAGGAGGAGGAGGAAGAGGTGGAGGAGGGCGCGAGGATGGCCGCGTACATCGCGGGGCGCGGGGCGCCAAGCGTGGCGACCTATTAGAGGCGCCCAGAGGCCTTGAACCCCGATCGCCTCCGCTCTGTTCGCGACGCCCCGGTGCCCAGAGCCCTCCCCAGACAGGATCGCGGCGCACTCCAGATTTCGTAATAAAAGGGAGGGGGTCTGGGCCCTCCAAGACGAGAGCCATCTCAGACCTCCCCCGTGGGAGAACCCGCCAAAACCTCGTCCCCAGACCCCCCCAGGCCCTCCAAGATAGCCTGGAAGAGACCCCCCGCCGAAATGAGACCCCCCTGCCCTTTTATTCCGAAATCTGGAGGGCGGGCGGTGTTCTGCCATTTTCGGCCTCGAGGGGGGCCCTCGCCCGGCCTCGGGGCCGGCAAGCAACGACGGAGAGGAGGACAAGCGGGTGCCGGGGAGAGGGTCGGGATGTTCCTCCTCCCTCCCCCTCTCCCCCTCCTATCCTCCTCCTCCTCCTCATCCTCCTCCTCCCCCTCCTCCTCCTCCTCCTCCTCCTCCTCCTCCTCCTCCTCCTCCTCCTCCTCCTCCTCCTCCTCCTCCTCCTCCTCCTCCTCCTCCCCCTGAAGCCCTGAGGGACAGACAGACGCCCCGGCCGAGGCCGCGACGCGTGCGGGACTTTCAGGGACCGCGCATCGAAAGAATCAGGACGTCTCATGTCTGGGTCTTGCCGAGCCTGCGCGAGGCGGACCCCCCGGACCCGGCCTGGCCGGAGTTCGAGTACGGCAACCCCGGTTCCGGGAGAACTGCGTGAAAGACCGCCGGTCCATTGCTCTCATCGGCACAGTCAAACTGAGAACAGAAAGAACGCGCACGAAAACTGAAAGCAGCCCTTGCCCATCTGAACCGGACTCGCTGTCGGTTCCGCCGCGGACACTGCTGTGTTGAGGCGCAGAGCCGCTTGCTCCATAGCGGCCGCTTTCGGTTTTGGACAACATATGCTGCTGGGCTCGTATCCATTTTTATCCGTACCATTTCTGGGCGTGCCAATCTCAAAGGTTGCCAGAAGTGGTCGTGGACCAAGGTGCCCTCCAGTTTTGCCGGGCAGGCCCAGACGGCATCCAGAGAACCCCTCACAAGGCCCCGAATGTCGCGAAAATTTGGGGACCCCTCTGGGCCAAGACCACCTGGCAACCTCCGACTCTCCCCCATCCATGCACTCACCATCGAATTCCTCTTCCCCCCTCCTCGCGACGCCTGGCGCTGACAGCGGTAAGGAGCGTCCCTGTGTTTCCTTCCTCCTCCTCCTCCTCCTCCTTCTCCTCCTCCTCCTTCTCCTCCTCCTCCTTCTCCTCCGCCTCCTCCTCCTCCTCCTCCTCCTCCTCCTCCTTCCCTTCATCCTCCTCCTCCTCCTCCTCCGCCTCCTCGTCATCATCATCATCATCATCATCATCATCATCATCATCATCATCCTCCTCTTCCTCTTCCTCTTCCTCTTCCTCTTCCTCCTCCTTCTCCTCCTCCTCCTCCTCCTCATCATCATCATCATCATCATCATCCTCCTCGTCACCTTCCTCCTCATCCTTCTCCTCCTCCTCCTCCTCCTCCTCCTCCTCCTCCTCCTCCTTGATGTTCGATCCTCGCGGGTGAAGCTTTTGTTGCGCGTGCTTCGTGCTTGCTGGGCCTCGGGCGACTCCAGGGGACTTCTTAGAGAAATCTGGAGGATCCCCCGATTTCAGGGCCCCTGGGGCCTTCTAGGCCTCGTGAGGAGCGCTCTCGAAGCCGTGGGGGTCTCCTGGGAAATCCTGTGGCTACCCTGGCCCAGGGGGCACTTCCAGCAACACCCGACCCTTGTACGTCAGTCAGTCCTGACCAGGCCGATCTCGTCTCGAGGATCTGCCTATACTCGGTTTGGGACCTGCGCCCTCCGCCCCCAGTCTGACGGGCTCGCCGCCCCTCCACCCGCCCCCACCTGCCCACCGATGGGTCCGCCCTCCGCCCCCCCGCCCCACCCCCCGATGGCTCGAGAATTGATTTACCCCAGAGCCCCCCCCCCCCCCCGAGGGTGTGGGGTGGTGCGGCGGTGCCCCCCGCCCCCTGTGGGCTTGGGGTGGTGGGATGGCGCGGTGGCCCTCTCCTGCGGGACAGGCGAGCGCCCTCTGTACCTTGGCATCGCCCGGACGTGTTTTTTTTTCCTCGGCGAGGCTCATCGAGGAGCACATTGAACCACCCCTGCGAAGAACATACGCGCACAAAGTCGAGAGACCCACGGGGAATGGACGTCCGAGCGATTGCAAGATTTCCCCTGTTGTCCTCAGGCCAGGAGTACACCGCCCCGTGGCTGGGCACCTCGTCCCTTCCCGCCTCCCCTTTGAGGCCTCGTCGCTACTCGCGGGGCGCGGGAGACGAGGGGGATGGGGCTGCAGGGGTTGGCGGTTGATGCGACGCCCGCCTTGCCAAGCCGATTAGCGACTTACCCTTTTTTGGTCCTCGTGAGGGTTCTGCGGCCGCGTGCTTGTTGCGGGCTGCGGGCTGGCGCTCGCCAGCTCTGACCCCAGGTCGTTTGCACTAAAGGGTGTTTTGATCACGGAGGCCCTGTCCACCTCCGAGGGGGAAGTCGGACTCCGCGCCGTGCCCCGGACACTCCTGTCGGGGGCGCCTTCGGATCTGGCCCCCCTCTGGAGAGGCCGCCGGTGCCCGATAGGGCACGCCGGTTCCTTGGCCGAGCGGGAAGGGGCCCCACAAATGTCGGCCGGGACGCGTGCCCGGGGCCCCCTTGAGAGCCAGAGGGCACTTGTTGCCGATTCCAGGCCGATGTTGGCGCTCCTTCTGAGCCACTTTCCCCTTGTCGCCCCTGAGGAGGGGGACGAGGGGGCGGAGGCGGAGGAGGAGGAGGAGGAGGAGGGAGGAGGGGGAGGAGGAGGAGGAGGAAGAAACTTCTGGCTTCCCCGGCCAGCGCCGTGGCCGCTATCTATTCTAGCTGTGTCGGTGGGCCGGCGGTCTCAGCGCGGGCCCCGCCAGGCTCCTTCAGGAACGGCCTCGCCACGCTGCCGAACGCCATCTCGGAAGCGCTCGGCCAGCCCGTCGGCGGGCCCGCGGCGGCCGAGTCGAGCGTCCGCCTGCGCTGGAAGCTGACGCTCCTGGAGACCAGGCATGGGCAAGAGGGGGTGGCACGCTGGAGGCTCCTGTCCAGGAGTTCGGTTGCAGCCCCTGTGAGGTCGAGTTCAGCATCGGCCCTGGTGCATCCTCCGTGCGGAATCCCGCCTGAGCTCAATGCGGGCGTTACCCGCTGCATCCCGCTGAACTCAGCTGGATCAGCCCTGATCCTCGACCTATTCCGGCTTAGTTTAGGGGAACGAAGAATGACATTATCCCGGCAAAGCAACCTAACAGCGATGTGTAGAAGCATAGCTGGAAACATTGCCTGTGGTATTCATGTAAGAGTGCTGTTGTAGAATTCTGGTGTTCTCGCAGTCGCATTCGGATTCGCAGTGGCAGTCGCAGCGGCAACGTCAGCGGCAGTCGCAGTGGCACTGCCAGTAGTTGCAGTAGCAATAGCTACACTAGCAGCAGCAACAGCAGCAGCAGCAGTAATAGTAACAGTAGTAGTAGCAGTAGAGTAGTGGTAACAGTGAAGTAGTAGTTGTAGTGTGTGGAGTGAACAAATAGGAGTGATGGGAGCAGTGGTAGTAGCAGTAGAAACACAGCTTTCGATAACGGTATCTCCAAATGAGATCTTTGTATACATGCACTGGCGGGGTCCGATCACCGCCGCCAGACCGAGAACTATCAGCATGTCCTGGCATTAAGGTGCGCAGTAGGCGCTGCGCAGTTCTTTTGAAAGGAAATCTTCGAAAGCAGGGCTGTAGCCAAGAAGGCTACGGGGACGATGATGATGATGAAGATGATGAGTCTTGGAAGTCTGGGAAGTGGAAGAGCACGAAGTGGCGTACAGTTGGCTGCGGGCATTCAAAATGTGGCCCGGGAGTGGAGTTCTGGGAAGTGGAAGAGCACGAAGTGGCCTACAGTTGGCTCCGGGCATTCAAAATGTGGCCCGGGAATGGTGTTCTGGGAAGTCCAAGAGCACGAAGTGGCCTACAGTTGGCTCCGGGCATTCAAAATGTGGCCCGGGATAAAGTTTTGGGAAATCGAAGAACACGAAGTGGCTTACAGTTGGCTCCGGGCATTCAAAATGTGGCCCGGGAGTGGAGTTCTGGGAAGTCGAAGAACACGAAGTGGCCTACAGTTGGCTCCGGGCATTCAAAATGTGGCCCGGGAATGGAGTTCTGGGAGGTCGAAGAGCACGAAGTGTGTGGCTGTTTGCTTAAAGCGAGCCCGGCCCTCGCGAGTCATCAGATGCTTTTTGTTGACCCCATTAGAAACCTATCAGTCTTCGCTTTTAGGTAATAAACATAGAAAATTCCGAGGTCCGCGCGGATTTTTCGGATCGGCGCTGGACCCCCCTCCCTGGCGCGCGGAGCGCGCCAGGGGCGGCGCCGGAGGCGCCACCAGGAGTTTCCAGCGCCGATCCGAGAAATCCGCGCGGACCTCCGAGTGTTTATGTTTATGTAATTATCCGTTTCCCTATAGTTGGCTCGATAGCTCTTTGATCGGCTAGTCCGTAATCGTTCCCACGAGGTCGTCCCAGGAGTTGTCGCCCAACGGGAGGGAGTGTGCGCACCGTGCCGGGACTCCGGATGGCCCTGGCTAAACTCTGCGGTGGTCCATACATTACGGGTGTCTCCTGCGGAGTCTGACCCCGATCCTCGAGATCCTCGAACCCCGATCCTTGAACCTCGGTCCTCGAGATCATCGAACGCCGACCTTCGAACCCCAAGTCCCGATCCTCGATCGATCATCGAGATATATTCGAATCTCGAGCCCCGATCCTCAGTCCTCGAACCTCGATTCTCGATCATCGAGATCCTCGAAGCTCGATCTTCAAATCCCGAGGCCCGATCCCCGATCGATCGTCGAGATCCTCGAGCCCCGATCCTCGAGCCCCGGTCCTCGAGCCTCGGTCCTCGAGATCCTCGATCGATCCTCGGACGGTCCTAACTGGATCATCGATCGACCCTCGATCCTCGATCGATCCTCGGTCAATCCTCGGCTCCCGGTCGCCGAGGAGAGGTCCCCCGACGGCACCTTCGTTGCCACATTCGACACGCCAGAGGGCCCCCAGCAGGCGAGCCGCCGTTAGGGGCGCCGCGCCCCAGATTGAGAGAAGGGAGGGAGGGAGGGAGGGAGGGAGGGAGGAAGGGAGGAAGAGAGGAAGAGAGGGAGAGAGGAAGGGAGGAATCGAGAAAGGAAGGGAGGGAGGGAGGGAGGGGGGAAGGGATGAAAGGAGGGAGGGCGGTGAGGGGGGGAATGGGAGGGGGGAGGGAGGGAGGGAAGGAGCGAGGGAGGGAGGCAGGAGGAGGAGAGGGGAAGAGGGGCAGGAGGGGGAAAAGGAGAGCGGATGATGGAGGACGGAAGAGGAAAGCGCAGGAGAATGGGGGACGGAGAAGGCAAGCGAAGGAGCAAAGCGGACGAGGACAGAGGTGAAGGAGGGGGAGGAGGAGGAGGAGGAGGAGGAGGAGGAGGAGAGGAGAGGAGGAGGAGGAGGAGCAGGAGCAGGAGGAGGAGGAGGAGGGACTCGTTGCATTGTCGGCGCATCGCCCCAGGGCGGGGGAGCGGGGACGAAGCCGATGTCGACGAGAAAGCCCCTTCGTCCTCGTCCTTCTTCCTCCTCCTCCTCCTCCTCCTCCTCCTCGTCCTCCTCGTCCTCCTCCTCCTCCTTCACCCACCCAATCCCCCTCCTCATTCTACCTAGTCATCCTCTGTCTTCCTCCTCCTCCTCCTCCTCCTCGTCCTCCTCCTGCCCCTCCTCCTCGTCTGTTCTCACCCCTTATATCGTTTCTTCTCCTCCTACGCATCCCTCCTACTATCCAACATGTCAGTACACGTTATGATTATCCTCGTGGTCCTTACTCCTCATTTCTCTTCTTACTTGTCTCCGTACCGAACGCCGCATCCGATGAACGTCAGGCGCGAGTGCCTTTTGGTCGGAGCGTTCAGCGGTGCGCCAGACGAATGACTGGGCGGGCGAGCGAGGTTCATCCCGCCCGCATCGACGCGACGCAAGGAGGCGGGCTGTGTTTTCTTCGTCTTGTACGTAGTTCATCTTCTACGGAGGGGGCGTTCGCTAAAGAATGTGCCCAGTAGGCTTCACACCCTCGAGGCTTGCCTATCTGATGAGGGCGGCGATAAGATCCATGGTCAAGCCCCAGCTGGTGTTCTGCCAGCTCTCGGACCCTGGATTCCTTATCCAAGGGCTCCTTATCCAAAGCCCTCACCGTAGTGCCAACGAGCGGCCCCCTCGAAGGCTTCTGAAAGCGACCACACAACATGCCAGAACCGTGCCTAGACAGCACACGAGCGCATGTAAAATGCAGGCCAGGACACCTAGCCTGGCCGAACACGCCAGCGTCACTTTGACCCCACGGTCCAGGAGGCGGAGGAGGACGAGGAGGGTGGGGACAGGGGCGAAAAGAGGAGCACATGCACGCCAGTTAAAACAATACGTTGGTGGCACTGCTTCTTTCCGCGCTTGCCGATTCAACGAGCTCTGTCCGATTATTTTCCGCGCGCCCGTTTGCTAGCCCGGGGCCCCGCCGTGCATGCAAACGTTGTTGTCAACGCGCGCGCGCGCGTGCACTGCCGACGCCCTCTGTAATCCAGGGCGCCCTTCTCGGCGTTCCCTGGGCTCGCGGAGACGCGAATCCCCTCCCTGGATAACAGTTTGGCAGGGCACCGATTTGTTGGGCATGGCAGAAAGTTCACCATAGCGCAGTAGTTGTTTGGCAAGCCTGCGTTGGTTTAAACGCTGCCGGCTTGCTCTGCACCGCACCTCGGCGTTGCTAACACATGAGCTCACCGAATGTCAGGAATGTGCAAGATTGGGGACATGTCACAAACGCTGCGATTGGAAAGCGTCGATATTCACCCTGTTTGTGGCACGCTGACAGAGTGTGCCGAGATTGCACGTAAGTTCAGGTACAACGCAGGCGTTACACACATCGACCTTCCTTGTCCTACTGATGTTGGCATGCCTCCCGACAGAATGCAGCGCATCGAAAGACGCACAGGCTTCACCCACCCTCCTGGCAGCTGAAGTTCCTGTGTTTCCCTTCGGCGCAGAAAATGCGATATACCCGACTAGACCGTCGAGGTGCCTGTCTTGAACGACCCTCCAAGTAGAATCAACATTGGGGGCCCTCGGAGCCGTCCTGGCGACACTGCCAGGCGGGTGGGACCTCTGGTTGGGATGCTTGCCCTTGGGGCCCTCCAATTGGGATTCGTTATCAGGGCAGGCTCAGCTGGGATTCGGGAGCCTTTCTCGTGCAGCCCCCCAGTTGCGATTCCCAGTCGTGGCGCCCCCAGCTCAGATTCGTGTCCACTGCCCCCCCCCCTCAGTTGGGCATCCCATAGGGGGGTCCTTCTCACAAGCCCCCCCAGCTGGGATTCCCCCTCACGGGCCCCCCAGCGGGGATTCCTTTGCACGGGCCCCCCCATGTGGACTTTTTCCCCCAAGCGGAATTCCTTTTCACGCGGCGCCGCTTCGGCGCCCCCGGCGCCAGACCCGCCCGCCCCGGTGCCCAGTCGCCCAGTCGCGCAGCGAGGCGCCACCTCCGTCGCGCAGCGGGATCCCCCACGGGTCGCGGAGCGAGGCCCCCGCCGATCCGACGCAGTTGCGTCCCTCCTCCTCCTCCTCCTCCTCCTCCTCCTCCTCCTCCTCCTCCTCCTCCTCCTCGTCCTCCTCCTCCTCCTCCTCCTCCTCCTCCTCCTCCTCCTCCCCCTCCTCCTCCCCCTCCTTCTCCTCCTCCCCCTTCTCCCGCCTCGCGCGAGACCCGCGCGCGCAGTGCCCAGTCGCGCAGCCAGGCGCCCAACCCCCGTCGCTGTGCGAGGCCCCTCCGAAGTCGTGGAGCGAGACCCCCGCGGATGCGGCGCATGACGCCGCCTCGTCCGAAGGGGGCCGCAGGAAGGGTACTCCAGATTTCGTAATAAAGGAAGGGGGGTCTCATTTCGGGGGGCGGTCTCTTCCAGGCTATCTTGGAGGGCCTGGGGGGGTCTGGGGACGATGTTTTGGAGGGTTCTCCCACGGAGGTGGTCTGAAATGGCTTGTCTTGGAGGGTCCAGACCCCCTCCCTTTTAGTACGAAATCTGGAGTAGAGACGAAGGAAGGATGCTCCCCTCTGGCGCAAGCAGCGCAGGGTTGGGGAGAGGGGGAGTGGCTGGGATCCCGGCGGTGCGAGCGCGTAGTTGAGCAGACCGTCCCCCATAATCCGGACCAGGGGGCGGGATGCGTGCGCGCAATTTCAACCAGGTTACCCCTCCTCCTCCGCCCCTTTTCCTTATAGATCACTCCTACCTGTCGCACCCCGAGTCTGGCGTTTCGCTTGGGATTGCCTCACAAATTGTGATCTCGAAGCTAAAAATTCGCAAAAGCTTCACGGATGGAGGACGGCCTGGTTTCAAAATGTGGTTCTCGCCTTAGCGCCGCGCACCGTCATTTTCAAAGTTTGCAAGAGCTTCCCCGATGGAGGGCGGCATCTTTTATCTTTCTCCTTGCTTAATGCAGTTCTCAACTTAGCGCCGCCCATATTCGATTTTGAAATTTGCTAGAGCTTCATGGATGGAGGATGGCCCGTTTTCAAAATGTCGTTCTCGCCTCAGCGCCGTGCGCATTCGTTTACAAAGCTTGCAAAAGCTTCACGGATGGAAGGCGATCCGATTTCAAGCTGTGGCTCTCGATTCAGCACCGCGCACATTCGCTTTCAAAAGTTGCAAGACCTTCACGGGCGAAGGGCGTTCCGGTTTCAAGGTGTGGTTCTCGCTCTGGCGCCGCGCACATGATTCATGAGATGTTGCAAGAGCTTCACGGATGGAGGGCGGCACGTGTTCAGCATGTGGTTCGTTTCCAAGCGCCTGGTTTTTGAATTCAAAAAAACAAACACGGATTTGAATTCCAAAGTCCAGTCTCCTGATTTTTTTTTATACAAAAAACTCCAAGCGCCTGGTTGTTGGATTCAAAAAACACTGATTTGAATTCTAAAGGCCAGTCTCTTGAATTCAAAAGATCAGCCTCCAAGCGCCTGGTTTTTGAATTCAAAAACAAGCACATTCGTCCTAAAAGTTCGCAGGAGCGTCACGGGTAGAGGGCGGTACGCTTTTTCAAAATTGGGCTCTCGCCTTCGCGCAGCGCACACGAGTTCGCAAGAGCTTCAGGGATTCGCACGGTTGACCTCCCAGAGACTGCGTTTTGGCACGATGTCGGAATGCCAGAGCGCAACACTCATATTGACCCGCAGTTCGGAAATCCCACACATGATGTTCTCGCACGGTTCAGGATCGTCGAGACGCAACAATAACGGTGATTCGCGGCGTCGGTTTCCCAGGAATGGCGTTCTGACACAATTCCATATTTTCACACGGTTGTCTTTCAACGGGTCGATTCCTTCAGTGGAAATAATGCGGGTTAGACCCCTATAAAGATGGAGCTTGGAGGCAGACGTGATTGCCGTTTCGTTGATGAGTCTTGAGTTGTCCTTGGTCCTCCTCCTCCTCCACGACATCCTCTTGACATTACCCCAACCTGCCTGCGCCCTAATATGCCCTTCCCCACTGTCCCCCCCGAACCACCTGCGATGCCTGGGGATTGATTTTTCGCCCCGGCGCGCGCTGCCAGAAGTGTGCAGGCAGATGTTCGCGGCCTGCGTTACCTGATTAAGTTTGGCGTTGGAAATATGGCGTGCGAGGTGGCGCCGCAGACCCACTTAGTGTACGCTATCCCCCATCTTGGGGATAGCGTGCACAGAAGAACCTTAGGCTTGGGGACATCATGTACAAAAAGGGCCGTCGCGGGGGATCGCCTCACAGGGGTAGCGTGCTTTTCGGAGATCGACGTTGCACGCAGTCTTTCCGGCGCCAACCGCACCACGCAACTGCTCGGTAGACTTGCCTATAGGTTGCCCGCAGCCTGCGGCCCCGAGTTGAACGAATGGAGCCTGCGCCGTTCTTCCGATCCACCTGCGCGGGGCCCCTGCACTCGGCCTCCGATTCGTCTTGTGTTTTGTGTGTGTTCTGGCCTCCCGCTGCGTCGTCTCCTGGTGCACGTCAAAGTTACCGCGTTGAGGCGGCCGTGGG